TTCCTGAAAATTTATACCCATTAAACCACCTCCAGTGGTTTCTCATTGTCAGTTACTTTTTCTTCCCCCTAACTGAAAAGCTATCAGAACAACCTTGATTTGTTCACACTTCTGTCAGTTTCTAACTTAAACCAACAGCCAGGAATGTGACTAGGGATGGCCTTTGGCATTTATGAATTTCATTATGTCTCTTGTCACCTCAAGCCTCACAATTAATCACAAGAAAGAAAGGGGAAAAAACCTTCCCCTGCACTGCAAAGCTATGTAAAGCCTTTTTCAGAGCCAGCGCTAAATCCTTTCCATAGACTGACTAGCTGAAGGATTTAAACTCAGCAATCCAATTAGCACCCTTCTCCTTGGAGAGTTAGGGGTGAGTTTCAGCATGGCAAGTCTGGGATTCAGCTACACAACTCCCATTAACAGCGAGGGGAATTGCATGGCTAAATCCTCACCCCACCGTGCGAATGGCTCCATTAACTTGTCACCTCTGTGGTCATGGAAGCTGAAATTCATTCATGAAGCTTTTTTTGTTTGAATCATGAAGCAGCATTTGCATTCTTTTAAAGCATGACAGCCACAACAGTGTGTTCATAGACGCCTTACTGGTGAATACCAATAGTCATCCAAGCTGCAGTTACAACTGTCCCAGTGAAGCAATTAGCAAGGACCAGTTAGTTAAACAGGAGGTGCCCTGGCGACTAGGACTCAGCTTTACAAACTGACGTGTTCTGTGTCCGGGCTGTGCACTGTTGGTACTTCATTGGAAATATTTGTTTCTGCCTCTGTTCAGAGCTCGGTGTCAAAGAAAAAGTCACGAGAATTGTAGTGAACAGCAACATCAAAAGACTTAAGAAATCATTTTAGGGAAAACACACAAGCAGCTTAAGGTCTGGGTCTGCTGTGCAGCTGTGCTTTACAGGCAGAGAATACCGTTAGACTAAAAGCCTTAAGCATTACGCCCGATGTTCTTTTCATTAAAACACAGAAACAGGATGATGGTGCCAGGCTTTTCTAAATAAAACTTGGCCTTACACATTTTGGTGTGCGATGACACTTTAAATAATGCATTTCTTTGATTATTTCTGTAATATTCAGTAGCAGCATGGAGGAGCACACTGCAGTTGAAAGTCTAAGCCTAATTTTGTGTGATCCTGAGTCAAAGGGAGGTGCTGGTGTTCATTACAGCCACCAGACAGAATTGCGTGGATGGTAAGTGCTCCATCTCCACCCATCATCCACCTCCCACACAGAGGAGGAGCTACAAAAGGCTCCAGGCCAGCAGCCTTACAGAATGAGACAGGATCCTTCTCCACAAACCTGCTGCTGGAAGAAACCTTCTCCCCCTCCTCTATAAAAGTAGGTCAGAATTGACATAGATAAACACACACATAAATAAATACAGAAAGCATTGTTGTGTGTAGTCCGGGGACCTGTCATGGGGAGTTTGCGAGAGATTTCCTTTTGGCCATCCTGTCTCGTACGCCACACACGAAGCCTGTCAAGCAGCCTTGAGATTGGTGTCTCCCATTTGAGTGGTGCTCTGCAAACATTAGTGAAATTCTGCTGTATGAGAACAATTTCACAATCACTTAATTTTTTAAAAGCACATAGCCCAGTGGATACATGCTTGGGCTTTAGTCTCCTCTCCACTTAGATTATAAATAAGTTATTAAATTAAGGAAGTGGTACAACCCAAGTCTCCCATCTGCTCAAGAGAGTGCCCTGCCCTGTGCTTTAACCTGTGTAATCACTGCAGCTTTTTAATGAACAGCCTTGAAGTGAGAGCCGATGAAGGCCCATGCCCTAAAAAACACTGTCAAGCTGGTGGTTGGGCACTGTCTTGGAAGGTGGAAAAACAGTTCTGCATCTCCTTAAGCATGGACCTAAGAGTTCAGTGTCAAAAATTAGTACTTTATCCCTCTCCACTCCAAGGTACAGGCTTAAAGACACAGCTGGTACCATCATTTTGCATGGCTCAAGGCCAGGAATACCTTTTTGGGACTCCTGGTACAACAGACATGGGACTGCTCAGTGCTGCTGCCCAACGTGCTTTTGGATTAGCTGAAAAACAGCTTCTGAGCAAAACTTAAGTTTCCATAGCTCATCACTCAAAAAAAAAACAAAATAAACACAAAACCACCCCAACTGTCAAGACACATAGTCAGTCCCTGCATTGTGAACCCACACTCAGTTTCCTCTCTCAGCTGTGCATCCCACCTATTAAAAGTTCCTTTTTCCCCCTTCTCCCCAATGAACTTGAGAGCTGCTTTGCACGGCACTGGGCGTGGGGAAGTGGCCTGGAGGATGCAAGCACTCCTTCTCTCCATGGCAGCAAACAGCAGCCTACACTGTTGGGCAATTTCCACAGAATTGAGCTGTAAGTTTAACGCTCATCCAGCAGAAAAGGAAATCCAGGGCTCGCCCAACTTGGGCAACTGGTTACGGAAGGAAATGAGAAGGGCCAAGCCTGGTCCCAGTAGAGAAGAAATAATTGCTCTTGCCTCTCTCCCCTTTGTTAGGAAAAGGCAGCTGTGCCACCAGGACATATTGTAAGCAGTGGGAAGCCAGTTTCAAGACTGGAGCAGGGACTAAGATGCAGCCCTCTCCAGCATTTCAGGGCAGCTCCGTGCTCAGCACACCCTTTGTTCTGAATGCCAGTTACGAGCACCTAATGCTCCAGGGCCATGATGAGGCTCCAAGGCATTGACACAGCCTGGCTCCCGCTCCTGGCCGGGCTGGCGCGCAGCCACCCCCACGCAGTTCTAGGCCTCAGGCCCCAGAGCAGTGCACAAAACCTATCTTTAACGAAGGCTGCACATCTTACATCCACTGTAGGGAGCAGCTTTAGACGGAAATGCTATGATATTGGCACAGTGGCAGCCTCCAGGAAGAACAGATTACTACCCTGTATCTTAGTAGGAGTGCAGTTAGAATCGCAGAAACGTTCAGGTCAAAAAGACCTTGAAGATCATCCCGTCCAACTGTTAACCCAGCACTGCCAAGTCCACCACTAAACCATGTCCCTCAGCACCACAGATACACGTCTTTTAAATACCTCCAGGGACGGTGACTAAACCACTTCCCTGGACAGCCTGTTCCAATGCTTGACAACCCTTTTGGTAAAGAAATTTTTCCAAATATCCAATCTAAACCTCCCCTGGTGCAACCTGACACCTTTTCCTGTCACTTGTTACCTGGGAGAAGAGACTGACACCCACTTTGCTACAACCTCCTTTCAGGTAGCCGTAGATAGCCATAAGATCTCCCCTCAGCCTCCGTTTCTCCAGGCTAAACAGCCCCAGTTCCCTGAGCCGCTCCTCCTAAGACTCGTGCTCCAGACCCTTCACCAGCTTCGTTGCCCTTCTCTGGACACGCTCCAGCACCTCAGTCTTGTCGTGAGGGGCCCAAAACTGAACACGGTATTCGAGGTGCGGCCTCACCAGTGCCAAGTCACTTCCCTAGTCCTGCTGGCCACACTATTTGGGACACAAGCCAGGATGCTATTGGCATTTTGGTCACCTGGGCACACTGCCGGCTCATATTTAGCCAGCTGTGGACCAACAGCCCCAGGTCCTTTTCCACCAGGCAGCTTCCCAGCCACAACTCAATCAGATCAAAGCCTGAAAGTTCAGAATCTCTGAGTATATTCTTTTCTCTGAAGAATGCCATTTACTGTCAACATCAGTGTCTGAAGTCATTATGGAGATTCACAACGAATGTTTAGAGTTCCTAATAGGCCTTTTGGAAGATGCCCTAAAGATTACTCTGTGCCTTCACATCTAACTTACTGTCCTTTGCTGGGGGTTAAATATTTATGTTTGTCTGACCAGATAGATTTAAAAATAAACTCTGTCATGCAAACATAAATTGAAAATGAGGACATGAACTGCATCTGTACCCTTACGAGCGGACAGACACAGAGATAAAGAGTTTCACCAGCTTCAAGAGGAGGGACACATTGCAGATCTGCTTGCAAGAACAGACCCATCCTATACTTAGCTACCTTTTGTTACCAAAGCACTAACCATGTGATACTTCTGCAAATTACAACAATTAATTAACACTTTACATGGCTACTGATTTTATTTAAACACTCGGTAAAGGGAATTATTTTTTTTTTCACATTATAGTTTCCTTGAAATGAGCAACCAGACTATATTCGTTTGATTTAAGAGTTGAGCCTAAATGTCATAGAAAGTGAAGTACAGTCTTCTAAAAGTTTACTTGCTTAAGGAACTGACCAGGACTTTCCCAAAGTAGAATGATTTCCAGCAGGAAGGACAGTCTGTATTGCTATAGACTGTAAAATACAATTGTCTGATTGTATCTAGGAAATTAACAATTACCTTCTCTGAAAAAATTTTAAAGCTCTTTACAATTCTAAGATGAGCATGGTTATCACTCAGGATTTCAGCTGAGTCGCTTGCAGGAAGGCTGTGAGTGAAGAGCCACCTTAAGCTGCTGGCGTTAGCTCTGGAATCTCACCTGCCAAAAAGGAACAGGGCTAGCCTGTACCTGGCCTAAAGGATTCAGGAGTGAAGGTGATGACAGCTAAATTATTACAAAAGGCTTCCTCCCAAGAATCACTGTCTTTGGCACTGAGAGGGAAGAAAGCAACCAGCACTCGTAAACTAATAGAAATAAATCCCAAACACTAGCATTTGTGTAGCAATTACACAGAATATTTATCATTGGAATGAATGCTGATCTCTGACCCTCTAACATTTTTTGCAAATTAATCCATTAGTTCCAACTCCTTTCTCTTATCAGTACATGAGCCATAAAGCATTGCAGTCCTAGG